ACATAATCACAAGTATTCGCTGACTTTGTTAATTAGCCTGGGCAAGGATAATCTTGTAACAGTAAACTCTCTTGTACTAATTTACTTGCTTGTTTCAGGGGAATCATGGTGAACTATGCTCATGATGTTTTAAAGAGACTACAGGGACTTCTTGTCATATCCGCAGTGAGTATAAGCAAAACTATTTTACCGCTACCTTGTCATACTCTATGAGGGAGACGCGATAGGCTTGTGGTTACCGCTGGACTGTGGGCTCAAAAAGTCCGCGTTCGATACTTGGTCGGGTCTGTGTGCTGTGTTCTTGAGCAAAGCACTAAACTTTCACTGTACTTCACTCCACCCAGGAGTATAAATGGGTACCGGTAAATTATCAGGGAAGCCTGATGAAATTCTGGAGGGTACCCGGGCAATGGACAGGTATCGCATCCAGAGGAGAGTAGCAATACTCCTAGTCGCTTCATGCCATGGAGATCAGGATAAGTTGTGGATGGACCAGTTGGCTCGAGTACAGAGTAAACCTACCTTCCTATTACTCCATAACGTTTGATAACCCAGAACATACACGTACTTATTAAGCTTGTATTTGAAATTGGGTTTCTTCTTGGCAGAAACAAACGCTTAAGGTTGATTATATGTTGATCAGTCTTCACCGTTCATACAATCCAAGGTTTCTCCGTTCTTATTCTTTATTGTGATTTTCCTTTCTTTTGAAGGACAATGGTTACCAGCAGCTTCTATCTGCAGATGATCGGGTATTAAAATTTTTTTTTTTTTTTGAATGAAATCAATCCTTATATTTATTTGGTCCGTTATTGAAATATTGTCACGAGTTTTTCTAATCCTTTCGCTCTCAGAGGTGATCAGCAAGGAATTTCTCCTTACAATATCAGTGCATTTTCAACCAGATACAGATAACGAAAAAAAGAAATGTAACAACGAGGAAACAGTGCATGATTAAATGCTAGATTCTCAGACCAAGAATTAGAAAAAATGTATGGCGGTCAGTGAGGGGAAGTTGGTATCTAGATCTTGGCAGTGAGGAGGTTAATGGCGGTGGCTTATTGACGCAATCGTTGATCACTTGTTTTTGAAAGTGTTTAAGATCCAAATTTTTTTTGTGAATTAATTTTTTTTGTAGTTGTTCCTTTATGAGAGCGCAGGTATTCTCATTGTTGCTAGTGGAGCAGTACCAGAGGTAAGAAATTTGGGAATAAATAAATAGTAGCTGGGAATGCCTCAAACCTATGGTTGGTAGAGTTCAGAGCACTTTCCTTTGCCTTTACCCAAAACATGAAGATCTATTTGGTCCTAGTAATCCGCCCGATACAGATAGAACAGGGTTAGATTTAAGACTTG